TAGCAGAGACACTTTCACATTGTAAAATGACTTCTTTCTCTCTCTCTCTCTCTCTCTCTCTCTCTCTCTCTCTCTCTCTCTCTCTCTCTCAGTCCCTTTTTATATGTTTTATGTATATATTATAGGAAGATTTTGCAACATTAAAATTTCATATTACTTAAAATAAGTATTTAGTGTTAGTTTATCCATCCTATATTTCCTCCTCTGCCTAGATTATCTGTCCCATGTTTCCTCCCCCACCCTGTCCTCCCATTCCACAAACACTTTAACCCTTCCTGTTCCATTAGCTCACTCTGGACACCATCATTTGAGTGAAGAGAGGTAGCCTACAGAATGGGAGAAACCATTATTATTTACAAATCTGACAGAGGGTTAACATCTAGACAATAAAGAACTAAACATCAAGAAACGGATCCAGTTGCAAATGGGGGCATGAACCTAAACAGAGAGTTTTAAAAGATGAAATACAAATGTCCAAGGAAAAAACAAGTGAAATGTTCAAAATCCTTAGTCAAACTAAAACCACTTTGAAAATTTACCTTTCCCTTATGACTAAGGAAAAAAAAAAAAAAAAGCTGTGAAGCAAAATCCCAAATGAGGACAGAAGTTGGCATGGATGTGGAGAAAGAGAAACAGTCATTCAATGCTAGTGAAAACTGCCATAGCAGCTATAAACATCGTATGAAGGTTGCTCAAAATATCCTACCATTGGAACTACCGCATGGTCCAGCTACACCACTTTGGGCATATAGTCAAAGGCTCGTCTATCCTACTGTATAAACAGCTGCTCATCCATGTTTATTTCTGCTCTATTTATAATGAACAGGAAATGGAAGCATAACTACACTTTCGTCAAGTCATGAATGGGCAATGAACGTGTGGCACATTTAGACAATGGGATATTATTGACCTGCTAGGAAAAAATAAAATTATAAAAAAAAACAATCACAGAGGAATGGATGGATCTATAAACAAGCATTCTGTAACATAATCTGGACTCAAAAAAGCAAATATCATGTTTTCTCTGATATGTGGATTTGAACTTTGAATCTTTAAATACCCACATGACAAGCTTTGGTGTAAGGGGCTTTCAAGGAAGGAAACATTTTAATTTGGTTTAAATTCTTTGTAAAGCTATTTTACGTTATCACGTCATTTATTATGTTCTACTTTCTTAGTAATATTTAAAAGTAAATGAGTAGTTTTCTTCTTGCACTATTTGTAGGAACATGACTGGACAATGGGTGTTTAAGTTTTCTTTACAAACGCAAGCGAAATAAACGAAGCCTCACTAATGGGTTGCTTCTCTGTTAGCATTGCCAATGCTAAATTATTTAGTCTATATCATTAATGACATAAATCCATTTTTTTTGGATTACAAGTTTCCAAGACTCTATGTTTCCAAGACTCTATATTTCCAAAGAACACAGGTTTTAGGACTCTTTGCTACAATGTTAATTATTTTTGGAGTATCCTATTAAGAAACTCTTGAGCAAAAAAAAAAAAAAAAATCCTTGGAGGATGTTACCCTCTGACCCTGTGTTGAACCACTTCTGTAAATAATTTTCTTTCAGCATTTCTTGCTGGCCTTGCACTTAACAATGTGGATTACAAATGTTGCTTTACCATATGTTTATGTCCAGTTATAGTTACAATAAATTCTAGAAATTTCTTATGAATAACAAAATAGAACATATTTATTGATTAAAAAGAACATGAATTGTCAAAAAATAGCAAACAACTACACTATTTCTTGCTGGTAACATGATTCTCACTTTAGAAATAATTCACAATAGCTTTTATTGCTGATAAGCATTTGTAGTCAGTGCCACCGATGGGAATATTCATGGCTCAGACTTTGTATTGGCTTTGCTAAGCTTAGCTTCAACAGTTCTAAATAACACAAGCATCTTTTGAAAATTATCTGTTTTATCACCTGATCACTGTGATCAGGTATATGCAAACCATACAAACTTTTCCTGTGATCATCATATCATTTTACAAACATCAGCTCTACAAGAACACACAGAGCCTTGTGATCTTTGGACATCTTAAAGAGATCACATTAGAGTTTAACATTAGAATCACCTTGGTCCCTGGATGAATTTAACAACACAGGGACTATGAGTCTACTTGGTTATTATGCTCCTTTTGATCAAAAGAGGGTGCAGATAACTCTGCTTTTAAAAAATACTTATAAATCATATATTTTGAAAACAAGGATGCTCAATTGTAAAGGTATAAGCATTGCAACGTATTTCACACATCTCAAAATATTTAGCATTATTGTTTATCAAATGAAGAAAACTGGAAAATGTATGTGTGTATGGGCTGGTTGGTGCATTGGGATTATTCTCCTGCCACATGTAAGACACTGAATTAAATGCCACCACCAAAGAAACAGCAGAAAGTTCAAGACTAAATATGTCAGTTTTTCAGTCGACATGACAAAGATCTCTAACAAGATAAAGAATGGAAGGTTTGTTAGACGTCCATCACGGCAGAGAGGGCATGGTAAATGAGTTCATGGCATGAGTTTCCAGGAAGCAGGGGAAAGGGAAAGCTTGTGCTCTGCCTTCCTCATTTATTTTTGCCTTTCTCCATTTATTCTGTAGGGATTCCTAGCCCATGGCATAGTGTCATCCAACCAAGGTATGGGTCCTCCATGTTTAGGAAATGCCCCACCCCCACACCAGAAATGCTCACAAATAGACCCTTGGGGATTTGAAATGCAGGTAGCTGGGACTGAGGGTTGACTGACATACCTATCATCCTTGAGATAAACAGGAGAAGGTAGGAAAAGTTTCATTAAGTCTTCTAAAAGGAGGTACTGAGAGACGGCTCAGTGGTCCAGAGCAAGGGCCGCTCTTCAGGAGGATATATGTTCAATGTTCCTCATCCATCTGGCAGATACAACTGTCTGTAACTCTAGCCCTTGGGGATCTGATGACTTTTGCTGGCCTCCAAGCATGCATGTAATAGGCATAGTACACAGACATACATGCAGGCAAAGCAAAAAACAAAACAAAATGAAACAAACATGCACTTATTCCTTTTCAATATCAAACAAAAATTTTAAAAAAAGAAAATAATACATAAAAACCAAAGGTAACATATTAAAAGTTGCAATGAGCAGTATCTGAAATTAATCTTTACATTTGGAAAATAGGAACAGTTCTAGAAGTTTGAGGTGATAGTGAGAACAATAATTTAAAACCCACAGAAACAGCTGACCTAAACAAGGGGGAGCTAATGGACTCCAGACTGACAGCTGGGAAACCAGCATAGGACCAAACCAAGCCCCCTGAACATGGGTGTCAGTTAGAAGGCCTCAGCAGTCTGTAGGGCCTCTGGTAGTGGAACAGTATTTATTCCTAGTGTACAAATGGACTTTGGGAGCCCATTCCCCACAGAGGGATACTCCCTCAGCCTAGACACATGAAGGAAGGCCTGGGCCCTGCCCCAAATGATTTGACAGACTTTGATGATCCCCCATGGAAGGCCTCTCTCTTCCAGGGGAGCAGAAGGGGGTTGGGATGGGAGGTCAGTGGGGGGCATAGGATGATGGGAACTGGGATTGATATGTAAAATAAGATTGCTTGTAATTTAAATAAAAAAACTAGCATATATTAAGTATACTGTTTTTAAACAAGACCCATCTAAAGTATCAGGGGATTCATACTCTTCCTCTTTCAGTCGTTTTCACATGACACCATTTCTTTAAGGAAATGAGTGTGCCCATAGCATTGGAAACTCCCTTCCCTCTAAAGGCGATGGTTAACTGTGGACTTGCATGCTTTTCGGGCCAGCAAAATTTGACAACTATGGGTCTGAACATTCTGAAGCATGTTGTTATTGTTTCGAGTTAATACTATAAGGTAGTTTTCACTATAGAAGTACCTTTAACTCATTAAAAAGAAACTCGTGGTCTCACAGATGGTCCTGGTTAAAACCAAGTGGTCACAATAACTAACTAACTAAATAAGTAAAAAGGCAGGAGTGTGGGGAAAGGATGCCTAGGGAGGATTAATAGGTGACAGAGGTGGCTGGGAGCTAAAATGGTGGGGTAAGAACAAACAGAAGTTGCATAAAATTTTCAGGGAATACATTTTTATCAATAAAAATTGTTACTGTCAAGTTATACAGTGTGAACTCTTCAATAATTTTTATAAAATTAGACTTATTTGTTTTGTTATTGTTGTATTGGTTGAGGTAATGGAATGTCCGTCGCTAAAATATGGCTTTATGTCTGTAGTTGAAAAACTCAGTTGTCATAATTTCCTTGTGCATTTGAGGCTGTTCTTGTGTATGCCTGAGGCTGAAGGTCAGTTTTGGGAGCTGCTCCTCAACAATGTTTCTCTCTCTCTCTCTCTCTCTCTCTCTCTCTCTCTCTCTCTCTCTCTCTCTCTGTCTCTCTCTCTCTCTCTCTCTCTCTCTCTGTGTGTGTGTGTGTGTGTGTGTGTGTGTTTGTCCCTGTCTGTCTTTTTCTCTCTCTGCATCTTTCCCTTCTTCTTTTCTTGAGACAAGTCTCTCTCTGGCTATCTGGACTCAGAGGCCCATGGCTCATCAATCAGGATAGACAAAGTGACCATAGACAATCCACCTGTCTATGCACACCATGCCAGGCCTTTTATCTGACTGCTGATGATCAAAGCTGTGCATGTCCAGTGATATTTACACCTTTCTGGGAAGTTTCCACTCTGAATATTGCATAAATGTTTATCCCTCATTGGAACTGGATTTTATAGAACAGAATTAACCTATGCTTTTAGTCCCTTGGCTGTTGTTATGAACAAAAGAATCTATCTGTAAGATAATAAACATCACAGAAAACTTGGAAGTATAAACTTTCCTAAGTTCATTAATATGGTTTTCAGTAATCACTCAAAAGTTTATAACTGTGCACTGTGTTTGCTACATGAGGTAATTTCTATAGAATATACTATATATTGCTTGCTATACGTTTTCTTCTGCCTCACTTTTGCTTTTGTTTCTTCTAGTTACTGGCTGACCAACAAAGTTCCCATCAAAAGACCCAGCACAGGCCTCCTCATGTACACACTGGCCACCAGATTCTGTGATGAAATTCACCTGTATGGGTTCTGGCCCTTCCCTAAGGATTTGAACGGAAAAGCTGTCAAATACCATTACTACGATGACTTAAAATACAGATACTTTTCCAACGCAAGCCCTCACAGAATGCCGTTAGAATTTAAAACCCTGAACGTGCTACACAACAGAGGAGCTCTGAAACTGACCACGGGGAAGTGCATGAAGCAGTAAAGCACACATCGAAGGATCAGAACTGGATACAAACTTTTTCTAAAGATGCTTTGGAGATTTAGAAACAGGATCCAGAACAAGGCTGGGTTTCAGTATCCACATGAACCGAATAGCTGCACCGGAAGTCCATGTGAAGCCACCACCAGCTGATGAAATACCTGCCAAGTGCTCTAAACTATAAAATATCCTGACTTCAAGGGTCCTAGTAAGTGCCACTTCCAAGAAGAATACAGTCTGAATGTATTATCAGTAGTGTTTACAAGATCCAACAGTGCACTCATCATTAATTAGCAAAGCAAATATGTTCGTCACTGTGGGGCAGCCATTGCAATGCCAAGCACACTGGAAGAGGAACTCAGGAGCGCCGTGACGGAGCTTGGGAAATTCAAACACCCTGATCCACAGAAATGAAGAAGGAAAAGAATTCCATCAGTGAAATCCATGAGATGAAGCAACTTGAGGGAATGCCTTCAGTCAGGACACTGAGAATGATCATGTGTGTGTGTTTTGCTTGGATTTTTGTTTGTCTTCTGAAACTTGTTTCCTTTTGAGTATGGGGTGAATAGAAATTCATTTGAGGTACAGAAATGGGAAATACATACGACTGAGAAAAGCAAGCATCAAACAGTCCGTCCTGAAATTATTTTACTTTTTAAACAGCAACCACACCAAATTTTGTCTTACTTGTTTTATTTCACACAACTCTAAATCTCTGAATTTTGTATCAACGGTGTAGCAGGTACCAGCCAAACTATGGCACTCAGTAAGAGAGAACCATTGTACAGGAAAAATGGTAAATTGCTCTTGGTACCAAAGAGTGTACCCTGTTTCCACACAGTAAACCATTCTCCTTTCATTAAAAATAAATATCACTAACATGAATACATCAATAGGCTATTACTATGAAACTCGGTTCTAAATATTTTAAAATTTTCAAACTCACACATTATTTTTAATTTATACCTTTGGCATTTCACAATAGTTTTGTGGAAACATGTTGCCCTGTAGCATAAATGTTGGGTTGATGTAGCTGAGATGTGACTCCTGGCTCTATAGCATTATCCTAGATATTCAGATGCAAAGATCAACATGCTCCACCTAAGTATCATTTTCAAAATTTCTCTCTACAAAGTAGCATGAAAAATTGAGACTTGTTTTCCAAACAGGTGACTAACCCAGAGCGGTTTAACAACAGTGTATCAACACTGTGTGTTTAAAGTGAATACAATTGACGAGGGTGTTCCTGCAGTGAAGTGCAGTTCCATTATTACTGCAGTTTTAAAGAGACATGAAGTTATTCATAGAGTGACAGAGTGATTCGATACGTGACTGAACTGCCTGGTGGGCTTGTTTTCTGTTTCTTTTGAAAGCAGAAGCTCTGTAGCCTCACTTCTGCTTCCCCTTTCTTGGGGGAAGGCAATCTGAAGAAAGCAGAAATAGCACAAAAACTATGAAGGTTTTGTTTGTCTGAAAAATGAATGAAGAGTGTAGGGAAGGTGTACATATATATATATAATATATCATATATGTATTCGTATTATGGAAAATAGTCACAGTACTGCAGTTACCAGTATTTTTAGCAATAGTTGGACTTGTTTTTAAAAATTGGCAGAACCTCAGGATAAAAAAGAGCATTTTCTGATAGTCCATGTCTCTATCAGAGAAAAAAAAAGAAAGAAAGAAATTGAGTGCATACGGTAATCTCATAACTAACATGAATAATCTCCATATACTTTTGTCCTTAAAATCTTATCTATTTGAAAATTTGAGAGCATTAGATACATATTACATGACTGTCAAATTGGAAGCCTAATTTATTCAACAGATGAAAAGTGGGTACTGTATAAAATTGATTTTGAACTCTGTGAGTGTTCCCAGCAGTACCTATCATGCATTCCATGGAAATCTAGAAGTCACGAGGAGAAAAATTTAACTTGTAAATACTAAGTTGGCACTTAATCAAAGTATGTATTTGAAAACAGAAGCATACCATTGTGACAGCACTTTCAAAGAGAAAAGAAAATGTGTTTGAACAAGCAAGCACACCCAAGCCCCCCACTGTCCCATGTGTTGATGCTTGTCTCTTAGATGCATTGGGTAGTGCCTTTTTAACGTCTTCACGTTCATTTTTCACCCCTGTTTTGTGTTTTCTAAATGTTTGCCCAGTTAGGAAAATGCTCAGCATCAAAAGGGCTTCAGATTTGAAAGAAAACTACTTTTGTTCATCTCAGGGAACTTTCAATACGCAAGAATGAATTCAATTAAAGGTATTTAGTGCTCAGAGGAGAAGTACTGTGTGAGACCATTCCATTCTCTAACACTTCAGTCTCCATCACGGCCTTCTTACGGGAAAAAGGCAAGCAGAGTCATGAAGGCTAACAGTTCAGTGAGGAAAAGAGTTACAAGTTAACACACATGATGGCATAGGGGATCATAGCAAAATCAAATTTGAAGTATATACTTGAAGTATCTGTGTTTTCCTTAATATGATATGCTCACAGCTTTATGGTTTTATTTACTTTTTTGTGATTTAACCATGCACCTGGGAATGCCCAGGCAGCTGACTGTGATGTATCCCAGTCATTGAGATAACACGGTTCTTATTGTGCTATTGACATGAGTAGACCGTGGAAGCACACTCGTTATTATTACTCAGCATGACCTATACTCAATAAATTGCTGAAAGAAAATGTGAGTCAGTAACAGCTCTCCAGGGCAAATCTTGTGATTCAGCCCACAGGAATAATGAAACTACTGTACAAGATTTTCTCACTGGGAAAAGGTGCTGGGCATTCAAATGTCTTCATGTGTTGTATATCATAGAAACTGTGTATCTATTGTTAAAGGAAATCTCTACATATATGCTTACAGAAATGCTTTATTTAACAAGTGCTAAGGGAAATGTACATAGCAACAAGTTCCTCAGCTACTACTTGGGAAGGGGTGAGCAAAGTGGTTTATTTCTAGTTGTGTCAGTTAGTCATGATACATATTATTATGTGATAATTGGTTCACAGATTTGTTTTTATGTGTTTATTGTAAGGACTATCTATAGTTGTGCAAGGGGGATGGGAAAAGTTGTGTATAGTTAGCTGTTATCTCCACAAGTTTGGAAGCTTCCCCATTAAATGTTATCAATATACCAAGGTTTTAATAAAGACAGGTAATGGCAATTGTTTGTATTTGATAAACAAACTCCAAATACAACCCATCTAGAAATAGATATTTTATTATATCTGTGCTATAAATATATCTCTATAGTACAAATAGACATGTGTGATGCATATATACCATGTTATATATGTATATCTGTGTATACACACTGAGTCTTTAATATGTGCACAAATAGATGTGTGTTATGCTGATACCTTCGGGGTCTGCCCTGTGAACTTCCCTGGAGATCACGGCCACCTTAAAAACAGACGTTCTTTTGAGACTTCATTTACTACTCTGCTTTAAGAAAGACCTACTTTATAGCTAAATTATATGTTCTTTCCTAGCGTAATAGCAAGAGACTAGTATGTTTAAATCTTTCCAGATAAAAGTAAAGAAAAAAAAAATGTCTTCAAGCTGGCAATGTATTTGAATTGCGATTTTCTGATTTTGGGTCTAGGCCATGTGTTTCTCCTATATGTAGCACCTTTTAAGAAATGCTGTTTCTTTGTGTAGGTAAAAGCACAAGAGTTTTAAATGTATATAGCAGGAAGAAAAAAAAAGGGAGTTTACAGATAGCTCTGTTGCATAGGATAATTGCTACTGAGTCTTTCTTATACCATCCGTGGAATGAGAAGATGAAGCTTATGCTGTAGGGTCATTCTGGTCAACACTGTTCCCTGTCATCTGTGTATAGTAATTAGCTATTCTTGTTTTATCGTTTGTACAATTGTAAAATAAATTAAATTACTTTTTTTTCCAATTTTTCTCTCTTTGATGTCTGTGCCTTCAATTTCCCTTCATATGCCAATACTAGGTGACCACTTTTATGGAAACCTTTAGTGCTGCTTAGGTCTTCTCCATTTCAGCGTCACTGATTGACAAATTTAAACACTTATTTTATTTTTATTTTTTATTATTCATTATTTTATTGCTAAAATTTATGATTAAATAATCAATGATCTATTGACTTTTGCACAATATTTTTTTTTGTTTTTATTTTTTTTATAACCAACTCCATTTAAATGAAAACATTTATAAACATTATTTGGGAATTTGGGCGTCATTCTTTCCAAACTACTTCCTGCTGGTAAGGGGTGCTGTGATGGGGGATTCTAAGAAGATGCAGAAATCCTGGCTGTAGTCTGCAAGGCTGCTTTGTCCAGCTGTTTTGAATGTAGGATCACCTGGTACTCTGTTTCAGGCAGTCTGGCTTGATCAAACCACATTAGTCTGGAAGGAATCCACATCTTTTCATTTTCTGTGGAAACAAAAATAGAAATCCTTTTCCCCAGTAACTTAAACACTTATTTTAAATGCATTTATGGATATATGAATAATTGCAATGCCAACATTAGCATCATTATATCCTTAACAGTATTTTTGTGTGATTTAGAGTCTGGAACATTTCACTACATGGGTTACCGGAGTTCATTTCTAGTTTATATTCCTATTAACTGATATAGCTGAGTCATTTAATCTCCTTGGCTAAAATGCTGCAGACTTTTTACACACAAAAGTCTCTAGGGCAGATGACTTGTGATTTCATCTGCAAATTGCTGCCATTGGCTTTTTGCCTTCCCAAACTGTTTTAAGGAAGGACTACTTACTTAAATCATTTTCCACACCTTGCAATAATTTACAAATCTATGTTTTCAGACATAACCTCTCTTTTCTTAAAAAAGTAATTTTTTGTGAGTTCCCTTTCAACATTCAACAATTTTGAATCATTGTTGGAGCCCTTTAAGGAATCATTAGAGATGGTTCATAAACTTGGATGTCATTTTTATTTGTTCTTTCATTCATTTTCCAGTACCTATAAATAAATGTTCATGCTATGTGTTCATGAGGTGTGGACATATCACATCATGCTGAAAAAATACTACTTTGACAGTCAAATATTATGGGTTTTAATTTAAAATAGACTTGGATGTCTGAAATTGTGGCTGGATTTCCTATCATTCTATTTAGTATACTGTTAGACATGCTTTGTGAAGGACCAAATGGCTTGTCCTTGCACAGTTCTAGTACATACACAGGGGAAAACAAAGCATTATAATGTGATACAGACCCTGAGGCACAGAGAAGCTAAAGCAAACACTAAACTAATTTACAAGAGATAAAATTTTAGCAAAAAACAGACTGAATAAATCCTTAAAGTGTCTCAAGATTTATTAAGCTGATTCATCTTTTACCTATCTTGTATTAACAGTGCTTCAATTTTTCAGTTCTTAGAGCAAATACTGTTCCAACTAATTTATACATATTAACTCAGTGAGTCTGAATAAAAAGTATAAGACTGTGAATATTCAAATTTGACACACACTATTTAAAAGATTATGAGACGTTTTTAGCAATATGGTCTTACTGTTAAATTTTGACAATTCTATGATGTTTGGAATCTATGAAACCTCATTGGACAACAACTACAAAAGAGGAATGGGCCTTTTATGTGCACTGAGGATTTTTATCTGTTAGCTTATAGTATTTTGTGGGGGTATACTTACCCCCAGTGAAAGGAAACTCCATTTGAACTAACACTGCCCCCACATAAATATATTTGGAAACTATACAGCAGTAGATTAACCCATGACTTTTTTTCAGAGACACTTAGCATTATTTGTCTCTCCCTGTATTCCTCTTCTAAACTGGTAAAGCGTGGGAATTAAGATTCACTGAATTCAGAATAGGTTAAGTGAGGTTTATACATGGAGAATTCACTTACACATAAAACAGGTGACCTCTGCGGGTTACCGATCCACGGATGCCATCTTGCCACCCGGATGCTCTCTGCAACCTGACCAGGAAGCAAGAAAGCAAGCTGTGGTTCTGGATCCCAGACCTAGCCTTCCCCATCACTTCTGCACCTGTGACCTCTGCCAAACCGGCATGGTCAGTGCGACAGGTGCATTTGAGGTGGATAGCTCACTAGAAACTGTCCTTTCTTCCTTGAACCCAATTCAACCCTCCCTCTTCAATTCTTTCCTTTGGTTTAGTTATGCTAGTGCATTCTGTCTTCATACCCTGAGAACTCTTTGCTTCCATGATTCCTTACTAATTCCTTGATATCTATTGGCATTCCAAATGAAAGACACATATTTGAAGATTCAAAGCTAACATCAGCAAATAAGAAATAATGTTACATCCTGTGGGGTTTGGGTGACTTGACTCAGGATCATTTTATTTTTTTTTCAGTTCCATTCCTTTGACTCTAGATTTCATAATTTTATTTTTCTTAACACTTCAATAATATTGAATTGGGCAAATGCCAAGTTTGAATTTCCATTCATCAATTGATAGGAATCAAGGATATGTTCACTTTTAGAAATTCAAAATAATAGTCAATTAAATGTACCTGAAATTCCAAAACAAAATTAAATGAAAATATTGAGTACTGGTGTAAGCACAATAATTATTTATTTGCTTCCAGACTACAGATTTCTGATAAATCACCAATACCGAATTCCTAAAGTAGACACAGAACTGTACAAATCCATGATGTCTTTCTCCAAATCCAGAACTACAAATGGCAGCACTATAGTTCTCCTATAAAATACAGAAAATTCAACAACACAGTAAAGGAACCGATATTTCCCAATACAGGGAGCCATTTTGTTTTTGGTTTTGTTTTAGAAGTCAGATAATATTTAAAAATTGTTAGATTTGTAATTAGTTTCCTATCATCACCCTTGAAATTTTAATAAAAGGAAAAGCATACAAGAAGGGGAAATAAATAAATTTCACTGACAAAACTTAGAAATAAATAGAAAAATAAAAATAAGAATGTATATGTGTTCATTGGTATACAGGTGCGTGTGGGGGGTTGGGTGTACATGTGTGTAAACAAATGTGAGGTCCAAAGAACAGTTCCAGGTGTCATTTCTCATCTGCTATGTCCCCTTTTTTTTTGAGCTAGAGTATCTTGCTGTATCGCAGTTTAATAAGGAACAGGATAAACAATTAGGCGGAACAGATGTTTATTTAGGGAGAAATAACTCACAACATAGACAAGTGAACACCAACAGGTTCCTGCTTCCAAGAATTCCTCTGGATGTCCTCCTGTTCCTGTGTGGCAGGAAAGAGAGCACTCTCCCGAGCCTCCTAGGACCTAGTTCCCCAGGTCACTTCCACCCCTGGCTCCACCCCCCAATGGGTGTGGTCAGTGCCACAGAAGGAGACAAAGTGAATATCCCCCAACATTGCTGAACTGGCATCATCAATTAAGCTAGATTGTATGACAACAGTGTCCCAGAATTTTGCCTTTTTGTATTCCCCCCAGTGTTGAGATTGCACATGCAGGTCTGCCGTGCATGATTTCTTTACAGGTGTTCTTCATATCAAGCCTGCAACATCATACTTGCTCAACAAATACTTTATGCTCTAAACTATCTCTTTGCCACAAGTAAATGTACTTAGTGTTTTATTTTCTCAAAGACCAAATCTTTTCTTAATAATGTTTCCACTTACTATCTAAATTACTTTTGTAAAACCAATCATTCTCATTCATAAAACAAACAAACAAACAAAAAACACCTACAAAAACTAATCTAGTACTGTGCAGGTTAATGAAGGAGAAATGTGGGCACTAGTCCAGACACGAAACCTTTGACCTAGAATCTGTCCTGCCTGAAAAATATGCTAGCACAGTGGTGGCACAGAATTTGTGGGAGTAGCCAATCAATGTCTGATTTGCTTTGAGACCCACTGTATGAGAAGGAATTCAGGACCCAAGACAGACAATGCTTGGGTAACCAAGAACCAGGGACTAAATAGCCCAGAGATCTAGGCTGATACTACTGGTTAAAAAAAAAAATCAATAAAATGATTCCTAATGATATTCTTCTATACTCATAGATCAGTGTGTTATCCAGGCATCATCAGAGAAGCTTCCTTTGGCAACGATAGGAACAGATGCAGAGACCGCAACCAGACATTTGCAGAAAGATGGTCTATATAAGAGGTCAAGATCAAACCCCTCCCCTGAGAACTTAGGGAATCCCACGGAAGAGGAGGCAGAAAGACTGAAATAGTCAGAGAGAATGGAGGCCACCAGGAGAACAAGGAGCACTGAATCATCTAAGCAAGATGCATATGATCTCTCAGAGACTGAAGCAGCAAACATGGGTCCTATGTGGGTCTACACCAGGTATTCTGAGTGTATATTTTAGCTTGTAGACTAGATTTATTATGGGACCCCAACTATGAGAAGAAGTGGGTCTCTGACTCTTGTGCGTGCTCTTGGAACTCTTTTCCTCCCATTGGCATGTCATGCCCAAATTTGATATGACAGTTTTTGCTTAACCTTATAGTTTGCATTGTTATCTTTAGTTGTTATGTCTTAGACGTTTGTTCTTTTCCAACGAGAGACAGAAAAAAAAAAATAGAACAGATCTGGAGGGGAGGAGAAGTGGGAAGGAACTGGGAGGAACAGAGGGAGGGAAAACTATAATCAGGACACCTGGTATAAAAAAAGAAACTATTTTCAATGAAATAATAATAACTGATCCTGGCTTGACTCCATTTATGCGGAGTCCCACTATTGAAAATGATACTAGCTTTTGTGTACAAGCCACATGGCTTACGGCATCAGCATTGCAGGAAGGATTAGGTTTCTGTGAGGTGCCAATTTGCATTTTCTACAACTTACTATTTTGGAGTACTCTCACTCTTCAATTTCTGTCCACCATTGCTTTCTCAGCCCCAGGCTCCCAACACCACACAGATGGGTTGAATCTAAGCACATCTGCCAGTGTTGCCAAGAAG